GATGTATGTGTTTAATTTTAAAAATCTGATACTTTAAAAACATTGATTTAAAAAAAAAAACCAATATTGTCTCATTGTTTATGCTTCTCTGTCTAGAATACCATTCCAGGGGGAGGACTGGGGCCTCTTGAGCTTTTTTTCCTTAGCTCCAGGGCCAAAAGATTGAGACTTGAGGGATTAATGAGGGTTTTAATACTTTGGAAAAGGAGCCAAAATGAACCCCAAAAAGGTGGTTTCCTTTTTTCTCAGCTCTTGAGGCCAGGTCTACACCGAAAAGTTAGGTCAATCCAGCTATGACACTCATGTGGTGTGAAGAATCCACATCCCTGAGTAATGCAGTTAGACTGACCTACTTCCCACTGTAGAGGACAACTAGGTGAATGGAGGAATTCTTCTGTTGACTTCGCTACCATGTCTCAGAGAGATGAATTAACTACAGAAGTGGGAGAACCCGTCTTGTCACTGTACTGAGTGTCTCTACTGAAGTGCTACAGCTGTGCTGCTGCAGCACTTCTAATGAAGACATAGCCTAAATCTGAATAAATGATTGCAAGCAACAACAGGGAGCTGAGAATAGCACACCTGCAGAGCCTCGAAGACACCCTCTAACATCATACTATAACTGGCTAATTAGTGTTATCAAAATAAAGTCTAGCAGGAGCCATATTCTATACTTGCTTCTTATTTAGGGAAGTAGGTCTAAGAATATTAGGGACTTCTCCCAGTTTGATACCCACAAGGCAGTGGGCAATGTTAGACTCCTATATCACCACAGTCTTCTTGCCAGAAGAAATGTTGGCAAAGATTCAATCAGCTATAGCCTTGCTGTACCAATTTGCATGTCAGAAAGTCATCTTCTTGTTCAGATTTATGGGCCTCATAGACTCAGCTATGCAGGTGAAACATTATACCTAGAAGGAAATGTAGTCTATCCCGCAATGACTGACAAAAGAACAGACATATTTTAGATATGTCTCTAATATTGACCATAGCAAGGAATCCTGATGGACTGACTCAAGATGAAGAGAGTAGTTTTCAACTGTCCAGCAGTATCAGCAACACTAACCTCAACTACATCCAACTGGGCAGGGGAGCTCACATCGACAATTTGACAGTTTGTGGCCACTGGAACTCCCAGAAAAAATAAACTACACATCAGTGTGCTAGAACTCAGAGCAATATGCTGGGCTCCCAAATCTTTTCTGCTTCACTTATATTTGAACGTAGTGCAGCTTTTCAAGGACAACACAGGCCAGCTGCAATCAAGGAAAGTTGTGTATTATATAAACAAGCAAGGATGGTACTCATTCCACACATCTATGCAGTAAAGCAGTGGATGCAGGGCAGTGGTGCATTCAACACAAGATCTCTCCTGTACTGCAATACCTAGCAGGGAAATGCAACAGTATTGTGGACCAACTGAGCAGAACTCCAGGATTGGTCATTGGAGACCTCAGTGATACACAAGATCTTCAACTTGTGGGGGTCATCCACATGTAGATCTCATTGCAACCAGGCATAATGCCCCAAATTTTGCTCAAGAGCAGGAAGAGAAAGCTAATCTATTCCAGACACATTCCTGATAATCTGGTGGCAAGTCTTCTGTATGCTTTCCCCCCATTTCTCATCCACAAGATGGTAAAAATGATAAAACTGGACAGAGCCAAAGTAATTCTAGTGGCTCCACTGTGGCCAAGTGGTTCTCAGTCCTTCATCTAACAAAAGGTGTTTACCAATCTCCTCTTCTTCCTCCCAGATTTGTTGGAGAGTTGATCAGATCTGACAACCTGGGCTATGGGTCTTTGATAGAATTAGAACAATCTTGTTGTCTGCTGGTTCATGTCCTACTTAACTGTAGGAAAGAATCAACCCTTAAGTGTTATAGCTTCAAATGGAAGAGATTCAGTCTCTGCATAAAGAGTAGTAATGTAGCTACAACAATGGCTCCAGTTCATCATATTTTAGAATAACTGCTACAGCTGAAACTTTCACACCTTTTTTATCAGCAGTCAATGTCCATCTAGCAGCTATATTGCTATACCACTTTCTCATAGATAACAAGTCTGTATTCACACACAACATAGTTAAGACCTTTATAAAAGGGTTCAGTAAATCTTCCTACACGTTAAAGACCCTTATCCAGCATGGAACCTCCAGTAGCTAATGAAGCTTCCATATGAGCTAATAGCAGAAGGGTGTTTATTTTAACTCTCAGTTAAAACAGCTTTTATCATAGAATCATAGAAATGTAGGGCTGGAAGGGACCTTGAGAGGTCATCGAGTCCAGCCCCAGGCACTGAGTCAGGACCAAGTAAACCTAGACCATCCCTGACAAGTGTTTGTCCAACCTGTTCTAAAAGCCTCCAATGATGGGGCTTCCACAGCCTCCCTTGGAAGCCTATTCAATAGCTTAACTAACCTTATAGTTAGAAAGTTTTTCCTAATAGCTAATCTAAATCTCCCTTGCTGAAGACTAAACCCTTTATTGCAGCAAGGGAAGTTATAGCCATAACATCTGTGTAATTACTGGGGGTTGCTCTGTGCTGGAGTACATTACATGCCTAAGGAACTAGGACAATGCCTCGTGTACAGCAATTTAGAAGCAAGTGCTGTAGGTGCTTCAGCAGCTAAGCCTTGTTGATGATAGCCCTGGTAGGTCCCAATGGTTAAGTGAAAGGGTAATGCGCTAGGGCTGGCAGAGAAGGCAACGTTTGCAAATATCCTAGGTATAGAGGCTTCACAGTTACAGTTCAAAGTTTGCAATAGGGGGTTCTTGTTTTGGGCCTTGGGGCAGTCCTATTGAAAATCAGGGCTCTTCAGGACTAGTGCCTGGGGTGCCCTCTCTACTCTAGTCTCTGTTGAAGAAAATAGACCAGGCTTGGTTAGTTTCTCTCACTGGGGCCCTCTGTACTAGCTTCTTCCACTGCTGCATAAGTCCCATACAGACCTGCACCCAGCTGTAACATTCAGCAGTCACAACCTGTTCCACACATGACTGCATACAGTTCCTGGGGTTTCTTCTTTACAGCTCCTGATTTGTCATGTGGCTGCTGCTTTTTAAATAGAGCCCAGCCCCTTCCTGGTTCAGGACCTTTCCCCCTCCTGGCCAGAAGAAAGGGAAGTGTAGTATGAAGGGCTGATGGGGGTTGAAGTCTCTTGCTTAGCTGATCCATCGCATCTGCTAGAAGAGTGTATGAATTGCAGGTCCTCATGGCTGACCCACCATTCACTGTTTTTCATAAGGAGGGATACATCCCCATCCCTAATGTGGTGACTGAATTTTATACTTATCTGGTTCAAAGGTCTTTAGCTTATTATGTCAATTGGGCTAAATGATTCAGATTGTGCCATAATGTATTCATTTCTATCTTGTGTGACAAAGTTCCTCCTATCTTGGTGGGTCCTGCACTTATTGGCGGATTTTCTTGCCTCAGAGATTCACCATGTGAGTTGGGGAACAGCCCAGAGACCTTCTCCTCTGGAAGAACCCACAGTCCAGGTCAATTGGGAGGTTTGGGGGGAACCCGGGCCCGCCCTCTACTCTGGGTTCCAGCCTAGGGCCCTGTGGACTTCAGCTGTCTATAGTGCCTCCTGTAACAGCTGCATGACAGCTACAACTCCTTGGGCTACTTCCCCAATGGCCTCCTCCAAACACCTTCCTTATTCTCACCACAGGACCTTCCTCCTGGTGTCTGATAACGCTTGTGCTCCTCAGTCCTCCAGCAGCACACCCTCTCACTCTCAGCTCCTTGCGCCTCTTGCTCCCAGCTCCTCACACTCACACCACAAACTGAAGTGAGCGCCTTTTAAAACCCAGGTGCCTTGATTAGCCTGCCTTAATTGATTCTAGCAGCTTCTTCTTAATTGGCTCCAGGTGTCCTAATTAGCCTGCCTGCCTTAACTGGTTCTAGCAGGTTCCTGATTACTCTAGTGCAGCCCCTGCTCTGGTCACTCAGGGAACAGAAAACTACTCATCCAGTGACCAGTATATTTGCCCTCTACCAGACTCCTGTACCCCACTGGTCTGGGTCTGTCACACTTGATAACAGAAAGAAACAAGTATCAGAGGGGTAGCCATGTTAGTCTGGATCTGTAAAAAGCAACAGAGAGTCCTGTGGCACCTTTAAGACTAACAGATGTATTGGAGCATAAGCATTCACCCACGAAAGCTTATGCTCCAATACATCTGTTAGAAAGAAACAAGTGCTTTAGTCTCCCACACTCTCAAAATTGGTTAGTCTATGCTTTCATGAGACCTACACTTTAGCATCAGACTCTATTCTGGAGAGAATTCGGACATATTCCACTAGGACCAAGGCAGCTTAAATGGAATGCCTTAGACATATTCCTTTTTTACAGATCTGTAGGGCTGCAACATCGAGCTCTTTGCAAACATTTTACAAACCCCTATTCTCTGGATTTAGCATCCAGATTGGATGCACAATTAGGAAGGGCAGTACTTCAATCTCTCTTTAATTATAGGACTCACCTTCATCTAAAGGGAGTACTGCCTGTCACACTGTCCCATGAGTAGGATTATGCAGAGGACACTCAAAGAAATAGAGGTTAGTAAACCTGCAACCAGAATTCTTTGAGGTGTACTTTGTATATTCACGATCTGAATCCATGCTCCCTCTTCCTTGGAGTCCTAAGTACAGCCTGTGACTTGGAGGAGGCGGTGCAAGTCACTGAGAGGTGAATTGCCTGCCCCCTTTTATAGCTTTGCCCTCAGAAAATTCAGGAACTGTGAGGGCAGGGGTAGGACAGGGTGTGAGAGCTCCAACTGGCACTGCTTCCTAAAGGTTTCACCATCACAGCTGCACCAGGGGTGCCTCCCATGAGTGTGAATATTTAGGAATCATTTAAAGGAACTCTGGTTACAGGTGAATACCTCAGTTTCCCCTTAACCCCTTGAAATGATTGGAGGAATTAGTGCAATACATTGTGTGCTTTATTTCTGTCTTGTCATTTACCTTGTGCTTTTCCCCCCGGTTTTGCAGCAGCACATCGGGCCCCACTGAATTGTTTCAAAGCAGTGAATACTAAAGGTGACCGGTGTGGCAACTGTGGTGGGGATGGACTTACTTACAATAAGTGTCAAGACAAGTAAGTTATATATATTGGTGTCTCTGATGCACTGGAAAATGTACTGAGAAACCTCGGTAAATAAAAATCCCTAATTTTAAGTAGTGTAGAAAAATAAATCATAGACAAATGAGAGGAGAGACAGAGCAGCATTTTAACAGTAATACAGTTTAAGCCTTTCATTTTCACCCCTAGTCAGTTTGATGGTGGCTTGAATTTTTTTTTAAAGGTAGTTCTACATATTCTCCTTTGCAGCCCAGTAGCAAACATTGTCACAACTCTTGTAGTTTCATTCAGCCTCAGGAAGCTAGTACACAGTTGAAAAGATTAACTGGTGGTCTTCTCAGCTCTGCTGTTTTGCATTGAAAAACTTCTTGGCGACTAGAGATTACTTGCTTATAGATTTCAGAGTGGTAGTCGTGTTAGTCTGTATCAGCAAAAAGAACGAGGAGTACTTGTGGCACCTTAGAGACTAACAATTTTATTTAAGCATAAGCTTTTGTGGGCTAAAACCCACTTCATCGGATGCATGCAGTGGAAAATACAGTGGAAAATGCATGCAGTAGGAAGAATACCCCGTTTCCCCGAAAGTAAGACATCCCCCGAAAATAAGACCTACTTCCAGTTTTGCCTCTCGCTGTAATATAAGGCATCCCCCCGAAAATAAGACCTCCCCGATAATAAGGCCACCCCGGAATATAAGGCTCCGAAGCTCCAGGAAAAATAAGACCTCCCCTGAAAATAAGACCTAGCGCATCTTTGGGAGCAAAAATTAATATAAGACACTGTCTTATTTTCGGGGAAACAGGGTATATATATATATACACACACAGAGAGAACATGAAAAAAATGTGTATTGCCACACTTCAATCTCCCTGCTCACTCAATTACAGACCTAAAAGTGGCAATACTACAACAAAAAAACTTCAAAAACGGACTCCAACGAGAAACTGCTGAATTGGAATTAATTTGCAAATTGGACACCATTAAATTAGGCTTGAATAAAGACTGGGAGTGGATGGATCATTACACAAAGTAGAACTTTTCCCCCTACTGTTACTCACACCTTCTTGTCAATTATTGGAAATGGGCCATCCTGATTATCAATATGAAAGTTTTTTTTCCCTCCTGCTGACAATAGCCCACCTTAACTGATTACACTCATTATAGTTGGTATGGCAACACCCATTTTTTCATGTTCTGTGTGTCTGTATGTATGTATATATTATATATATATATTAGATCTTCCTACTGTATTTTCCACTGCATGCATCCGATGAAGTGGGTTTTAGCCCATGAAAGCTTATGCTTAAATATATTTGTTAGTCTCTAAGGTGCCACAAGTACTCCTCGTTCTTTTTGCTTAGATATTGAATCTTAGATGTTGCTTGACTCTTACAGCTTGATGGTCAGCCAGGAGGGTGGAGGAAGCACAGGCGTCTTTGTGAGGCCTGGTAACATTGCAAGGCCAGAGGGCTTCAGTCAAGGGCCACAGCAGCAGCTATGGCAGAAACCACTGCATGGAAGCAATCCACAGTTTGTAGCCAACAAGCCTTTTTCCTTTAATCCATACATGACTGTTTTGCTGATATATTGATTATAGAACACACCTTACATGTTCCTTGTCTATTTTGTCAGTTACTAATTTTATTAATTACTGAACATTTTATGAGCATCCATTTGCAATTAAAACATTTTGTCCATTATAGCACACATATATCATAACATGTATATCTTCATATACAGTGTGTGTTTACAGAAGAGAGACAAAGAAAATGAACTATTGACCATGGTTTACATAATTGAAAGGTACAGACATTTGTTCAACCATCCATTATTTTAATCAGTTACAAAAGAGATCACCAAGTCATTATTATAGAAATCTATTGGAGTAATTCCTGATGAGTTAAAAGCATACTTCAATCGATTATCTTCTCAATTAAAGAAAACACTTGCCCCACACAAGTTACAGGTAGTTCTGAAAGGGTCAAGGGTTTTGAGGACAAAGGAGACAATCCATAATTTAAGAAGATGCTAAGGTTAAGCTAAAATGCACATTATTTATAACACCAATATTAGGGTCAGCTAAAGTTCAGAGTAAAGAGTGGATAATAAAGTACAGGACTACTAGGACAAAGACATTCATTTATCAAAAAAACATTTCTCTTTAACATTAGAGTTTAGCCAGAACCTTTGGTTAAGATAGAAAAGGTTCTGGGGTGTTTGGTCAAGAAATAATGAAAATTTGACTGTGATCGGGGTCCTGGTGGGGGCCAGCTGAGGTTACTCAATTAGGATGAACTGCAATGAATGGGGCAGACAAACCCCAAAGCTGGTGGATAATTGAATATTTAGATTTACCAAGCCAGCATAAAACAGCTTCTTTATTACCTCACCGGTTGCCCAGAAACCAACACAATTCGGTTAAAGTAACCCAGCCTCAGGCCTTCATCCAGGTACCCAGTCAAATATGATGAAGATTTCTGAAAATCTTATTTCATCATTTAAAAGAAAAGGTTCTACCAATCCTAAAGGATCAGACACATTACCTCCCTGGTTATTGAATATTCCAGATTTTACCCAAATACACGCATACAGCCAATTCTTTTTAACTAAATTAAAATTTATTTTTTTAAAAAGAGAGAGAGAGTATGGTTAAAAGATCAATATACATACAGACATGAGTTCAATTCTTGAGGTTCAGATACATAGCAGAGATGGTGACCTTTGTAGCTACAAAGAGTTCTTTCAGAAATAGTCCATAGGTTATAGTCCAATGTTCAATATTATTTCAGGGCGGTCCAGTCAGAACTGGGATCTCAGTCCTTGTGGCTTAGGCTTCCCCTGCATGAAACCTCAAGCAGATCTGAGATGACAGAATCAAGACTCAATGGTCTTTTATACAGTTTTCTAGAATTCAGTTGACCATACAGTCCTGGGTAAACAATAGGCTTTTGATGTAACCTTTTGTTTCCTGAACACCAACAGTAATTAGTTACACAAATTAACAAAGGGCAATTTATCCACTAGGCAGTCTATCACAAACTTAAAAGAGACATATGGACAATGACATTATTTTACCCAAGATTCATCTAAATGTTAATATTCCCTTTTGATCTCTGAATTAATAGTTATAGTGACAGACAGGGAATGTCTGTTTACATGGCTAGCAGCAAAGATACACACAATTAACATTACCTCTAACAATATAGGTTTGCATTTCAAAGTTCTAGACTATCTAGCCATAGAATGGCCCTAATTACATGTCTTTAAAAGTCAGCTTTGGATTAGTTAGCCTGCAAGCTGTTTAACTCTTTCTGGCCATGAGTTATATTTTGTATAGGATTTGTTGCAATTATATGATTTGCATGGTTATATTTTAATTAGACAATGTCACATTGACATTAAAAGAATCAGATTAATATTTACTCATAAATTGTTACTTCCATTTCAATCTCTTCTGTATGTCTCTCTGTGGATAACTTTTGACAAAGGTCACACTTTTGAAAATCATAGGACTGGAAGGGACCTCGAGAGGTCATCTAGTCCAGTGCCCTGCACTCATGGCAGGACTAAATATTATCTAGACCATTGCTGACAGGTATTTGTCTAACCTGCTCTTAAAAATCTCCGATGGACACTCCACAGCCTCCTGAGGCAATTTATTCCAGTGCTTAAACAACCTTACAGTTAGGAAGTTTTTCCTAATGTCTAACCTAAACTGCCCTTGCTGCAATTTAAGCCCATTGCTACTTGTCCTATTGTGATATTAAGGAGAACAATCTTTCTCCCTCCTCTTTGTAACAACCTTTTATGTAGTTGAAGACTGTTATCATGTCCCCTCTGTGTTCTCTGACAAAAAGCAGAAGCCTCTTTGAATTCCTCTGCTTAGCTTGAACGCCTCATAACATAACTAAAAACATAACATGCGTTGTCCTATTCACCAAGCATCCTGGCCACAACAGACTTGTATATGTATCTTAATATTCAGAAAAAGTGAAAACAAGTTTGTAATTAATTTATATTGTAAGAATACTTTAATACCCATTTTTGTTTTGATATTGAAATATCTCCACCACAGACCACTCCCTGGCCTCTCTGATCACATTCCCCTTGCCTGAAATTCTCCCACTCTTTGACTAGGTCTTGGGCATTTTGAATCAACCGTGATTCCTCAGTAGGTCTGACTGAGTTTGGCTCCTGTAGGTCTTTCCTTTGGGAGTTGTGACCAATGGGTAATACAATCACAAGGCAGATGGTGGTGCAGCCACCACCACCTCCTCATCCTTCTCTTCCTGCCAATAGTAAAAATGAGTGACCTGCTACACTGCACCTTCTCTGAGCTATGAGGAGCAGAAAGGGCTGAAGTGCTGGTTTGTAGCAAGCAGGGTCAGGGTTGCAGGAGAAGTTGGCTGCAGTTTAAGGCTGTAGGCTCTGTTTTTGAATGACTCTTCACCCACTTCCTTTCTTCCTTGAAAACCCTGCTTTCGCCCCTTCTGCTTCCTCTTACCACACCCTTAACCTCTGATTCCTCAGCTGGCCACATAGTTGAATCATAGATCACTTAGAATCATAGAAATGTAGGGCTGGAAGGGACCTTGAGAGGTCATGTAATTCACCCACCTATGTTGAGACAGGGCCAAGTAAACCTAGACCATCCTTGACAGGTGTTTGTGTAACTTGTTCTTAAAAGCCTTCAATGACAGGGAATCTACCGCAGGGGTTTGCAAACTGGGGGTCAGGACTCCTCAGGGGGTCGTGAGGTTATTACATGGGGGTTCACGAGCTGTCAGCCTCCACCTCAAACCCCGCCTTGCCTCCAGCATTTATGATCGTGTTAAATATAAAAAAAGTATTTTTAATTTATAAGGGGAAGGGGGGTCGCACTTAGAGGCTTTCTATGTGAAAGTGGTCACCAGTACAAAAGTTTGAGAACCGCTGATCTACAACCTTCCTTGGAAGCCTGTTCCAGTGCTAGACTACCCTTATAGTTTTTCCTAAAAGCTAACCTAAATCTCCCTTGCTGCAGATTAAGCCCATTACTTCTTGTTCTCTCTTCAGTGGACATGCAGAACAGTGGATCACTGTCCTATTTATAACAGTTGTTAACATTTTGGAAGACTTGGTTCCATGATCCCCCCATCCTTTTTTTCTCAGAGCTAAACTTACACAGTTATTTTAACCTATCCTCATAAGTCAGCTTCTCTAAACCTGTTATCATTTTTGTTGCTCTCCTCTGGACTCTCCAGTTTGTCTACATCTTTTTTAAAATGTGGGTCCCAAAATTGGACACATGCTCTAGGCGAGGTCTCACAAATACCGAGTCGAGGAGGAGAATGACCTCCCATGATTTAAATGTAACTCTTTTGTTAATACAACCCAGAATGATATTAGCCTCTTTCACGCTGCATTATATTGTTTCCTACCATAGTGATTTGACCCCTCAGATCTGAAACAGGACAACCATGATAAAGCCAATGAGAACTCTGATAGAAATGAGAAAACTACTACTTATTTTCATCCATACATACCAGAACACTTTACAGAGGAGGGTAGTAGGGCTGGTGGTCGAACAGTAGACTTACAGTATAGGATCCAAATTCAGGACACAAGCTCAATTCCTTATTCCTAGGCATCAGGCTGGGAGTACTGAAGAAAGAGCATGTCACATTGCTGTGCTGTCACCTCTCTACCTCGCTGCAGCAACACTGATGAGCTCCTGATTGAACTTCACACAGCCCTTCATGGCAGAAAGATCAGTAATTGTGCTGGAACATTAGTGGGGTTAGCAAGGCACACAGAGAATGGGTGTAGGGAAGGATTTATGGGATAGTAAGACGCACCACAACTCTCACATGAGTTTTTCAAATTTCGTATGACCTTTAAGCAACTATTCTTGTTATTTTTTTCTTTCAGAGATGTCTTGTGTGGAAGACTGCAGTGTGTTAATGTTAAAAAAATCCCTCAGATGACAAGTCTTGGGTCCATAGTTCAAACTCCAGTTGATGATATCTTGTGTTGGGGTACAGAATTTCATGCTGGGAGGGACATGGTGGATGTTGGCTCAGTGGGAGATGGCACCGCATGTGGTGAGAACAAGGTACTGTAGTAAGTATAGTTAGATTTGTGAATGGGGTGGAACAGAGATTAAATGGAGAGAGGGAGGCCTTGAACTCCTGTTCTCTGCTCCATGTTGCCTTCCATCCCCTTACCTGAAAAGCCTCAGAGATCGCTATAAGGACCACCTGTTCTCACCCACAAGCAGCTGCAGAAGCCCATCTTAACCTTTTAAAAGGAGCAGCAGATGTTCTAGTCCCTGTTTTGCGGAGAAATAGTAAGTAGGGGTCAGTGTCACAGTTCTGGGGTTCACTGCACTTTTGAAAATTCCCCCAAAGGGCCTAAATACTGTAAAAATCTGTCCCTGGATGTCGTCTTCCCTCCTGAAGTTGCTAAAATTTCTGAATTCATCTTCATTTGCTCAGTATATGCCAGAGCATGACTAAAAAGACCATACTCTCCAGGAATAATTTTTTTTTACAAAAACATTGATCTTGCAGCATGATCTGAATATAGTTAGACTTAGGTTAAGCCTTCTCTGCCTGGATATCTGTCTGGGTTTGAACTACAAATCTATATGCAAAATCCTTAAGTGTTAAAATAGTGGTTGAAACATTTGGGATCTATTTATTCCATCACATGTAAAGATACAACTGATGGGATGGCTAGGCCCCACGTATTCTTCCATTGGATAGGTATAGAGGAGTTTATCCACCTAATTAGCTGTTTATATGTACACTGTCACTGTATTTTTATTTTTGAGACCTGAGATTATCTGCACAATCCAGTGTCCTAGGTGCATAGTACACACACTCTCAGATTAAGTAAGTAAACCCATTTATTCATGTCTGAATATTGGTGACAGACATCATAGGAGAATTTTCTGAAGCCTTCAAGAGCCACTATACCTGTGTTTTTAAAAAATGCTTTTTAAAGTCTGCCTTAAAAATTGAAAAAAGATCCAGGACATTTAAAAATAACACCATTTCTCCTTCAGGTACTGACCCTGTGGGTGCTCCACTTCCAGTGCACATGTGCCCAATGTGCCTTTGATCAGAGATTTTCAGTAGCAGTACTTGTTCAACCCTCACATATGCGGCAGACATCCTCAGGGCCCATACTGAGGCTATATAGAGTTGTGCGAGCAAACCACCTTTTTTGCCCTTTTCCAGTCTTCTGGGATGTCTCTTCTGGAATGATGCTTTACCAAAACCCACCAAGACCATCTGGCACACCTTGGCAACAGTACCACCTACATGTAAAAGCTCCAAAAAAGTATTAAATTTCAGCCGAAAAAATCTGAATTTTTATTTCTGCAGCCTTCACCGAACTCCTTGGTTGTCAAAGCCATCAATGAACCTGGCAGACAATACCAGATTAAATCTATACCATATGATCAGGAGCAAAAACGCCTGAACCTGTTTGGCCATAAGAGTTACTCATCTGCAGCCCTACAATTTTTAGGATCGTGACCCACTTAGATGTGATAGTGAAGTATAATCACACCAACTATATGGAGTTCAACAGCTTTGTTGAACACCTTGTGGAATATCCTGAACAGTTCCATGCAATCAAGCTGAGGGTCAGCTCTTAGTAAGAACTTCATTATAAGCCTTCTTCGATGCAGCTGACTCTGCAGCTCATTCCATTTCCACAGGGCCGTCCATAGCTATTTTGGTACTCTACGCAACTCCCCCCCCGTGGGGGGGGCTGTGTGGGGCCCCAGGCCTCCACGGGGGGGGAGGGGCTGGGAGGCTGGCTTGAGGGTCAGGGGGGAAACCGCCCCCCAGCACGAGCCAGCGGAGCGGAGCGGGTTGGGGCCGGGTTGTTCCACTTCCTGCCACCCGGTGAGTGCAGGGCGGGCTCGACTCCGCACTCACAGGGCGGTGAGAAGTGGAGCGACCTGGCCCCAGCCCGCTCCACTCTGCTCCCCCTGCTCCCAGCCTTGGGGCTCGGAGGGGAGAGGGAACCACCCCCCCAGCACTCACCGGTGGCACGGCTGAGAGCCAGGGGAGCGGAGTAGATTGTTCAGATAGATCCATCCTCCCCCCTTCTTCAGAGTCTCTGATATGGATTCTGAAGAAGTGGAGGGAACTCTGTTCTGCAAATGAGCACATGCATGGCCTTAATGCTTCCTGCTTTCTAGAGGGCTTTCATTGTGGTGCCACCATTATATGCACCCTCAAGTGTGTAACTCTGTGCTAAGAAACTCTGAACAAAAACAGTTATTTACCATTAACCTTTCTTTTTGACTTGTAGCATGGATTCCACATTTAATAACCAGTCAGAACATAGGCTTTGCTAATGTGATCCTATTATCTAAAATATATTTATTTTTGAACTTTTACAGATATGTATAAACAGGACATGTGTCAATATAACAATTCTGAATTACGATTGTAATTACTCAAAATGCAATAACAGAGGGGTAAGTAGTAAAGATTTTAACATCCTCAGAATTTCAGAGTATAATATGTAGAACACTGAACTTAGTCTCTTAAAAGTGGTGCCTTACCTTAGACTAATAATATTATTTGAGGTGGAGAAAACCTTGAAAAGCAGTAATTAAAGTATTTTGAGGAGGGACTTTATCAACTATGTACCATCTGATGAAAAGCCCCACATGACACATGGTACAGTAAGATCTGCAAAATAGCCAGATCTCCTGACATTTGGGATTTTATTGCTAATAAATTATTTCTATATGTTGCACTTAGTCAGCTGGGGAGTTAGTGTAGAAAAAGAAACTTGGGTGTTACATTCTCATAGCACAAGGTGAAGGTTTCCTGGGGTCTTCAAGAATAGCCATAAGTGGAGCACATTACACTATGCATCTTGGAACTAACAAGGATAGGAATTAGAGGGTTCTACACTTCATTGCTTCTGTAGGCCAAGTTCACTGCTTGCACAGTCTTGCATCCTTCTTTTAGAGAGTGAACTGCTACATGAGGGAGGGGGGAAAAAATAAGCACCTGAGTCCAATTAAGTAGTCCCCTCAGAGGCTGATAGGTATGGGAGGGGTCTAAACCTATATAAGCCAGACCCAGCTCATTCCAAAGAGGGAGAGAAAGGTGTGGTGACACCATAGTAGACTGGAATGTTGAAGCAGTACTGTTGGAAATAATTTTTCTGATACATTTACTAAGGTTCATCATGACTTAGCTTCTACACAAGTATTCCTTTATTAGGCCAGTTGGTGTTTGATTACATTCAAAACACAAATACCAGCATCTACACATTTATATTTCAGCAACAATACAGTTATAAGCATTGCCCAAATACACCGCTACCTTGATATAACGCGACCCGATATAACATGAATTCGGATATAACACGGTAAAGCAGTGCTGGGAGGGGGGGACTGCGCACTCCGGTGGATCAAGGCAAGTTCAGTATAACGCGGTTTCACCTATAACGCGGTAAGATTTTTTGGCTCCCGAGGACAGCGTTATATTGAGGTAGAGGTGTATGCACAATAGGATCAGGCTTGGGAGAAATATTTCTACCTTGGCATGACTGCAGAAGAATAAGAAAAAGCTGTGACAAAGGAATCCCTAACATTTTGCCTTTTATAACATTATAATAAGCAAGTGATGTCATTGCTGGTTATCAGCCTGATGAGGCAGTTTATGGCTGAACCCTGTCCTCTGAACCGGTTGAGACAAGATTAATGGCTGGACTCCCCCTCTCTTCCAGGTTTTTTTCTTTTCTTATTTTGCTGTATTTCTCCCTAGCTACTGGATTAAGCAGTTCTTTATAATAAATTAAGGAAGCGTATACAATCAGTTATTTACTGCACCTGGTACCCAATTAACCATGTTTTCTTTATTTTTAAAGAATTATTTACTGTATCTGAACCCAAACCTTACATAAGATAACGCTAGCATTTCAAGGGTCACTATAAATTTAACACAAACCTCCTTTCTTCTCATTTCAGCCTCTCCTCTCCTCATTCTTTTTTGTCACAAGCTTTGGGCCTATCACTGGCACTAACATCCAAACTCAGTTTAAAACCATAGTTCACCAGGTCTATATTCCTACAAGTACCTAGGGAAAAACAGCTCCAGAAATGGTCAGGAGAAGAGACAAACACTAATTGGGGGAAATGATGGGGAAAAACTAAATATTCATACACCCCTTTTTAAGTGTTAGTACATTAATGATCATCTGCCAAACCCCTTGGTCCAGGCAAGAATCCACCGGTCAGTCCACTTCTATTTCAGAAAGTCCCTGCAACCCCCCCACCCCTTCCCTCATACCAGGGGCTCTGTATTACCCCCCATACTGTGCCTTCTCTGCCCCCGCCTCCTGTGGCAGGGGCTCTGAGAGTATTTCCTCTTTCTTCCCCCGACCCCTAAAGATCTTTTCCCCCACTGGGATGGAAGGGATGGACAGACAGCTTGTTTCTTCTCTCTCCCCCAACAACAACCATGGAGCAGACTTTGGGGAGGCTGCACACAGAGAGGAAGGAAGAGAAATACTGTGTAGTTGTGTTTGGCCACTTCACTTTGCCTAACCAAAAACAGAGGTGATGTCTCCATCTGACAGCATAAGGTGATAAAAAACATTTTTCACCATTATTATCCCCTGGGATTACTTGGTTCACTGATGGATAGAGTAAAACCAATATTCCTCACAGAAGGGCATGAGGCTTGCAAATCTCTGATAACTAAAGTCCTTTAAGATCCTCAGATGAATGGTGCAAAATACTTAATTAGTTTTATTCCTTCTGAGTAGGTTTCTCATCCACATATAACCATCTCTCCTCTTCTATATTATCTCTTGTTTTGTCCCCTAACAATTTTCATCCCTTCAACAAGAAAATGATAGAACAGTAATTTCCCTTGCTCCCAGTGGCATGGCATTTCTAGATATACTTCATAGGAATGTTTACAAACTCTGTATTTTCTGGTAGTCGGATGACCAACAGCCCTTTTTCTGTCACTTTCTAACTGAAGAGATTGAATGGCTCCAGAGCGTCAGCAGAATGGCAAAACCTCAGGAAAAAAAACTTGCTTTCTTCAGTAAGGCTTTGTCTACACTCAGGGGCGGCTCCAGGCACCAGCAACCCAAGTGTGTGCCTGGTTAGCAAGCCGCGGGGGGCGCCCGGCCGGTCGCTGTGGGGGCAGTAGTCAGGGAGCCTTCAGCGGCACCGGGGACCTCCCACAGGCATGCCGCCAAAGGCAGCCTGCCTGCCGTGCTTGGGGCGGCAAAATACACAGAGCCACCCCTCTCTACACTATCACCTTTGTTGGTAAAACTTTTGTTCGGGGAGTAAAAAAAACCACCCCCCTGACCGACATAAGTTTCACGAGCAAAAGTGCTGGTGTGGACAGCACTTTGTCATCAGGAGAGCTCTCTCCTGCTGACATAGCACTGTCCAGACCAGCACATCTTCATAAATGTGGTTTATGAAATTCTAGTAACAAAAATTCAAGTTGTACCCTCACTAAGAATCTTTCTTAAAACCCAGTTCCGCAGTATAAAAACCATCTGGCTGATTTCTAGGTTAACCGGAGGTCACCGTACCACTGAACATTAACCTGAGTTCAACCAATTTCTAACCAAGCTCTTTGCTCTAACACAATGGGAGCCCAACCTTCTTATGTCCTTTAGGCACTACTGCAATGTAAATGTTAAATTATAACAACCAGCATTCTGTCCTGACCTCGATTTATGCCTACAAGTAGAAAACCTGTTTTATAATCTCATGGCTCCTCCTCTACCTTACATCAATCAATCAACCAACTCCTGCTTTCCAAATTGCATTCCTAGCACCAGATGGTGAAGTGCAAAAATAGAAACAATAGCATTTGCATGGCTGAAAATGGTGTTCAAGACCTATAGGTTAATGCAACCAGCTTCACGTGGCTCTGAGGGTAAAACATACTCCTCCAAGATAAGAATGCCCAGAACGCTACTTTTTGTAGTACAAGCCAGAGAGAAGGAAGAAACCAACTCTGCCATATGCAATCTGCTGTTGCTTTCTTGCTCCCTATCTTTCCTCTTGAGGCTTGACACATGATTTCAATAAGTGTTTCAATAACATTAAAATGTCTTTTATAAGAAATGAATAACTCTACACATTGGATTTTCTCATCTGAGGGGAAATATGCTCTATTTTACTCTATTTTAAAATTCTTGATGATCCCTATCAGATTGGGTATGCAATTACTCTATTAAACTTTGTCTTTCAGCTCCAAAACACAGCCCTATAGAAGTTAAACTAAAGGAGAACTGATTTAACTTTTAGAGAAGTTAGTTCCATTTTTTCTGTGTGGGTCAGCCACTAGATGACAAGATTGCACAATAATAAACCACTGTCAGTACATTAACTCCTCCTACCAAAGATGCAGACTCTGGATAACTAGTTATCTTGGTGCTCATATCAAGAGACTTAGAGAAACGTAAAGTAGCAGCTAAGAAACACCATTCTGTCTTTTATTTAGTATGTGATTCCATATAGTACAGGGCAGTTAGAATGCACAAAGAGTTCAGGAAAGCCGTATTTTAATCAAATTACTCATTTGGTTCATGTTATTTATACCCTTATTCTATTTCAGATATGCAACAGTAAGAAAAACTGCCATTGTAATTTTGGTTGGGCCCCTCCAGACTGTAAATTAAAAGGATTTGGAGGAAGTGTTTCTAGTGGGCCCCCTCCACCTACCAATAGTAAGTGCTGTGAAAAACTAAGCACTTTATATTTTAGCCTGTTTTTTAGTCTAAAGCCAGGAATCTGTAACCTGTATTCTAATGTGGTCCTTGCAGCTGTCACCCACGCCTTTGTCACATCCAGGCTATGCTACAGCAATGTGGTCAGCTTGGAGCTGCCCTTGAAAGGAGCTGGAAGTCATTACTTATAGAACACTCAAAAGACCTGATTCTGATATCCTTACTCATACCAAGTGTAGCCCGATCCATAGATTATATATTAATTATATTGATTACTTAAGAATTCTCAGTTATCACTCTGAGATTTGACAGGTTCTTGTCCCAAGATCAGGCCCAGTATTATTAAAATTACTGTATAGATGGGAGCTCCGATGTGCACAGTTGTAAAACTCACACTGTAGGAACCCTTCTACAATAGTTTATTAATACATTTAGCAAAGTCACAAACACTCGAACCCAGTAAAGTGGGTAGAGATAATACAGAATGTACATCTGAACATCCATATACTCACACCATCCCTGGCAGAACAATCTGAAATATTAACCATTATCTTCCTCATCACCATCACCTTCCTCATCATCTCCAGTGGCCATCATCCTGGCACCTCCCAAGGGCTACATCTCTCTCTTCTCCCACACACAGACCTGAATGCATCTTTTATAATATGTTACGCTGACACCACTATGTCTAATGCTTATTCAATAGGGGTTTCTCCCCTCTTCCTTATTTGTATTTCTTCATCCTACTAATGTTAAGGTTCCCTCCTCCTATAGGTAGTATATGAATGATCTCAACTTATTATGATATACATCAGTTCATTGCTATAGCACTCTTGTGGTCTGATATCTGTGGAGGTTCTATCCAAAAAACAGTGTTAGCTCGTGTTTCTTTGGTTGGCTGGTGTCGTTATGGACAAAATTTCCCCTTACAAACTCTATTTCTAGTTCCCCAAAACTTAGGGGTGACCGTTAGGTCATTTGTCTGTGCCACAGTTCATAGGCCTCAAGCCTTATGCTAACTGCTGAAGCCAATGTCTTATAGGTTACAGGCCTCTAGGTTTCTTGCATTACTGCCAAATAAAATAAATGCTAAAGCTAGCCCCTTGGGCAACACAAGTAGCACTTTACTTCACAAATGGATCAGTAGGATCTTGTGGAGTTCAGGTACTATTTATCATGAATAAGTGTATCAGAATAAATAGACCCTAAATAGACAACAGAGGCAAAAGAGTAGTGGAAAGAAAGTGATGCACTTTTTTCTACCTAACTCAGTGGCCCCTATTATGCTCCTACCCAGCCCCCTTGAATTTTTCTTCTTCCTTATGTAGAGTAGAATTTCTCTGTCTTACCATAAGCCTAAATCCCCCAGTCCTAGTAGTCACCCATTCCTTTTAACTGGTTATTACTTTCCAATTTTTATAAACTCACTGAATTCCCATATCTCCCCAATTCTTCAAGTGATTCTCCACATATAGTCCACATCTGGGGTGCATCTGGGGTAGAAAGGGCTGTTTCAAGTTGTTGAGCATCAAGTAATTTCATCTTAAAAATGACTAAAATTTTATAGTTTAGAGTCATAAAAAATAATAGGCCAAATCTTAATAAATGTTTCTCTTAATGGCAATTCAGGGACGAGTCTCACTGTTTTACTCACATGAGGTTCTTTGCCAGGCCTTAGCAGATACCACAACTAAAGACAAGCAAAATAATCATAATTATTAACTATGTCTATTATTAAAGAAAGGAAAAAAATAAAAACAAATCAGAACACAAACAATAAACATAGGTTACTTCAGGTACAATCTTGTCTATATGTCTCTCTCTGGAGAGCTTTTGACAGCGATTACACCTTTTCAGAGTTGGTCTACTCTTGGAGGGGACCAAAGTACCTTATTCCTCAAAATTGGTAGTGAGCCTTTTCTTAGTGTATCAAAGATAATAAAACAGTTTATAGATGGGCAAAATACTTTTGTTTAAGGGCAGGTGAGCCCTGTTTGAGTTATCAGTAATAACATAATAGGTTATAAATGGGCAAAAGTGAATAATCTTAACTAGGTCCTATGAAATTAAAGAAACTATTTAAATCAGTTACTCAAAAGAAGTCATTCAAGGAGCTACAATGTTACAGGAGCTACAATGTTACAGGTACCATTATTTCTCTCTGTTTTACCAATGTTAACTTATGTCTCCTGTCCAGGAATACATAGGTACCACTGTGCCTCAGTGGGTCACAGCTGAGAATATCAGATTCAGGACAAACTGCTGAGAAATAGGGCAGACTCACCCCAAAATGATGATTATTCTATTATTAGATATATCAACCCTGTGACCAAAGTAAATTTCTGTCGCACCACATTGGTTACCAAGAAGTCAAAATCCAGTTTACTTAGGCATTCTAGCCCTTCTTTCACCACACAGACACTGTACTTTATGATGGGTGATTGTTGAAAACCAATTTCATCACATACAGGGTCCTTCTAATCCCAAGAGATCAGCCACTTAGCCAGGTCAATATCCCAATAATCACTATGCTACCAATCCTTTAGTAACTGAAATCTAAAGATTTATTAATAAAATAAAAGTTTTAAACGGGTTAATAGAACATATACATACAATAATTGCAATATCGTTATATCAGGTTTGTAGCAGTGATGTTATAGACTAGGGATCGGCAACCTTTGGCCCGCGGCCCGCCAGGGTAAGTCCCCTGGCGGGCCGAGCTGGTTTGTTTACCTGCTACGACCACAGGTTTGGCCAATCTCAGCTCACACTGGCCGCGGTTCTCCGCTCCAGGCCAATGGGGGATGTGGGAAGTGGCGCATGCCGAGGGATGTGATGGCTGCTCCTTCCCGCAGCCTCCATTAGAATCATAGAATATCAGGGTTGGAAGGGACCTCAGGAGGTCATCTAGTCCAACCCCCTGCTCAAAGCAGGACCAATTCCCAACTAAATCATCCCAGCCAGGGCTTTGTCAAGCCTGACCTTAAAAACCTCTAAGGAAGGAGATTCCACCACCTGCCTAGGTAACCCATTCCAGTGCTTCACGACCCTCCTAGTGAAAAAGTTGTTCCTAATATCCAACCTAAACTTCCCCCACTGCAACTTGAGACCATTACTCCTTGTTCTGTCATCTGGTACCACTGAGAACAGTCTAGATCCATCCTCTTTGGAACCCCCTTTCAGGTAGTTGAAAGCAGCTATCAAATCCCCCTCATTCTTCTCTGCTGCAGACTAAACAATCCCAGTTCCCTCAGCCTCTCCTCATAAGTCATGTGTTCCAACCCCTAATCATTTTTGTTGCCCTCCGCTGGACTCTTTCCAATTTTTCCACATCCTTCTTGTAGTGTGGGGCCCAAAACTGGACACAGTACTCCAATGAGGCCTTACCAATGTCGAATAGAGGGGAATGATCACATCCCTCGATCCGCTGGCAATGCCCCTACTTATACAGCCCAAAATGCTGTTAGATCCTTTTCTGCAGAACTGCTGCCTAGCCATTTGGTCCCTAGTCTGTAGTAGCGCATGGGATTCTTCCGTCCTAAGTGCAGGAATCTGCACTTGTCCTTGTTGAACCTCATCAGGTTTCTTTTGGCCCAATCCTCTAATTTGTCTAGGTCCCTCTGTATCCTATCCCTACCCTCTAGCGTATCTACCACTCCTCTCAGTTTAGTGTCATCTGCAAACTTGCTGAGAGTGCAGTCCACGCCATCCTCCAGATCATTAATGAAGATATTGAACAAAACCGGCCCCCAGGACCGACCCTTGGGGCACTTTGCTTGATACTGGCTGCCAACTAGACATGGAGCCATTGATCACTACCCGTTGAGCCCGATGATCTAGCCAGCTTTCTATCCACCTTATAGTCCATTCATCCAGTAAAGTCTCTCTGGTAACTTTCAAAAGATTGGAAGGTCCTCAGTCCATAGTTCAATATGCTGCTTTTAGTTGTAAATCCAGAGAATCAGGGTAGGAAAGAGGCAAAATGGAGTCATCACGAGGGTCTTTTATATTATTTGCCACGTGCCTGAAAATGTTATGTTTCAAACAAAGCTCACAGCCCCCTTTGTGGAAAGTTACTGCCACAAGATGGAGTCCAGGGTCACATGAGCATATCACATGTCCTTACATGGCTTGATGACTCACAGGGGTTAGCCCCTTGGAGGCTGAGGCATCCGCCAGAAGATCTATGTGGGCAGAATGAGTTTCTTCTATGGCCCATTGTGAGAGTTAAGTGTCTTTAATGGGCCATCAACACAAAGCTGTCTAGCCTTGATGTACATCTTATCTGGTGGGTGTTACTCAGAAATACAGCACATATGTAAGATACCAGTGCATAGCCAATATTCATAGCTTCATATTCAAAAATGATACATGCATATAAACAGAAACATACTTAGAAAATCACAACTTTCCATTGACACCTTACATGACATGCTTTGTACAAGATTCGTTGCAGTTTTCTAACAGTGGCAATATCAATGATATAGATGGTCATATTTCAATCATACAGCATCACAATAGGCTAAATAATTTGGTTTAATGGAAGCTGTTCTATCTTAACTGGCAATAGAATGTCAATGTTTTTAGTGTTGTAGCCATGTTGGTCCCAGGATATTAGAGAGACAAGGTGGGTTGGTGAAAGAGACAAGTGGGCTTCTTCTCCTTGAATGGTTCCTTAGAATATGTGTTAACTACGTATGCTAAACAATCTGTTCCACCTTGTATTTAGCTGTGACACTCTAAGTACTACCTTTCTGAAGACCTGAAGAAGTCTTAACTCAAAAGCTTGTCTCTTTCACCCACAGAAGTTGGTCCAATAAAAGGTATTACCTCACACATCTTGTCTACTAGCATTTCAGTACCATTAAAATAATTACAAGAAAAACATTACATTTAATCCCTTGGCAGGGCTTTACAACTTCATTTCACCATACATGTTGAACTTTTGATGTTGTTGTCATCTGAACTGGAAGGTTGCTTCTTTTTTATGCTACTCTTTG